TAAAAAAATAAGGTACAGAAAATATTTGGTTTTAGTAAGATAGAAAGCTCTGAAGTTTAATGAAAATACTGTCAACTTTATTTGTATTGTTTTAGGCTATAATGCGTTCTATGTGACTTCAGAAATTGCAAAATATATTACGTGAGCAGCAGAATGTGAGAGGGGATTTCCACAATGCATGTAATCATATATTTAATACTATATTATCAATACAAAAATTGAGAACAAACATTTGAAGAGCTAATCATATGGGAACATATATATTATGCTTGCCTGTGTGGTAACTATAGGATATCAGCAGTGCAGACATAGTTTCAAGATAAAAAAATCAATGTATTGTCCAAAATTTTCCAAAAAAATTCAGACTTCTCTGAATTCATCTAATGAATTTGCTTACTTAGCAATTATTTGTGTAACAGTTTTTTCTAGAGTAGTTATTATTTCATTTCAAGGAGCAATGGTGTGTGGTACCATTGTATGATTGTGGAGGTCCTGAGGTGCTACTGTCTTGTGATTCTGGATACTACTGCAGCTCCTGGTGAGTGCTTATCTGCTACCAATCCAAGCCAGGACTGAGAAGAGGCTTCAGCTTAGCTTCTACAGCATACAGCAATACAGTGCCAGGCTGGCCCTTGTCTCTAAAGTTAGGGGTTTTGTCTGCGTCCCTATGGATGTGCAGTTCCCATCAGAGCTTTACCAACTCGAGAATTAGAGCAGCAGCGAATTTTTTTATCCCATGTTTAGACTTGGGGGAATCCTGTCTTTGCTGAGAACAGCAGCAGCAGCTCCCATCAGACAAGCCTTGTGCTACTTCCACCCTTGCCAAAGATATTTGACTCCCAGTGCTCTGGAGTGTGTATCAGCTGCCAGCTTTTTGTGTGTTTTGTTGAGGAAGAAGATAATTTCCACTCTTCTTGCTGTCCAGCAAAAAAGGATTCAGGATTCCTTAGACCAGAAAAGGAAAATAAAATGGTGAGTTAGGACATTTGGAACTCTTATATTCCATGTTCTAAGGAGAAGGTACCTAACCTTTGAATAGTAACACTTTTGTTTGTTTTCATGCACTGTGTAACAATGTCAAGAGGCAGAGCTGATAGCACTTTCCTAAGCCCTCAGATGCCTCTGAAAATAGGTGTTTTAAGTTGAAATAAGGTGTTCCTTGCAGATATGGAACTAAAAGTACTCAAGGGGACACAGCAACTGAAAATAAAATTTTCTGGCAGAAGAACACCAAAGGTGTCAGCAGATGGTAAGAGGTTGCCTGTTCCCTGTGACATAATCTTGTATCGAACCATTTCTTATTTGTTGGTAGACTCTCAGAAGTTGTCTATGGAGGCTGAAGTTCATCTCTGGTAAAATCTGATGTCCAGTGCATTCAGCAACTGACCCCTTTGCAATGTCACCTGCAGGGTGCACATGGAAAGTGCCCTATTCATCACTTCTGTGACAAGCAGTGTTTGTGCCCTTTCAGTAAGACCTCTAATGTCATGAAGTTTGGCTAATCTTTGGTCCCAAAACATTGCTTCTGTGGTGAAGAATATCTAGTTTGGAAGGTGAATCGTTGTGCTGTGTTAACCATAGCCAGCTGCCAGACATCCACACTCTCCCTACTCCTCCTCCTCCTCAGCAAGATGGGGGAGAAAATGAGACCAAAAAAATAGCTCATGTGTCAGATAAAGACAGGGAGATCACTCACCAATTGTCATCAGGAGCAAAAATGTCTCAACTTGAGGAACATTATTTAGTATATTGCAACTTCCAGTGGGTCACCCATGAACTGCAGCTCCCACCAGAGCAGTGTTCTGGCTCCTGTCCACAGGCTGCAGCTTCCTGCAGGGCATGTCCACCTGCTCCAGCATGCAGTTCTCCAGTGCCTGCAGTGTGGGTCCCTGCTCCACTGGGATCCTCTGTCGGATGCAGAGAGACAACCAACAAGGTCTTCTGCACAGGCTGCAGTGAAACGTGTTCCTGTGCTGGAGCACCTCCCTTATTCCTTCTTCACTGCCCTGAGTTTCTGTAGGGCTGTTTCTCCTGCAGCTACTCCAGAAGTTTACCATTTTTACCATTACCCGTTCTTAAATATGTTCTCACAGAAGCTACCCCTGCAGCTGTCCCCTGATACAAAAACTTTGCCACACCAACTCAAAAGGTTGGCCTGAATGCACTGTAATTGCATAACTGGGTCCTTGCTTAGGAACAGCAAAGGGTCAAACTTGCCCTCACAACATGTCATTCTTCTTGCCTCAACCTTCTTCAGACAGCTGTCCCTTTCACAAAAGCACAGGATTTTCTTCATGTATCCATACAGTCTCTCTCATTTCCTTTTCCAATTCCTGTCCTAAAACTGTTCCATCAGTTTGCTTATTTCTTCACAAAGTCCCCAAGCCAAAGCTTGTTGAATCTGAGAAAATATTCTAGGAAAGCACCATTATCAGTGTCAGCCATCTTCCCTAAGCAACATCTCCAACTGGCATTGGGGATTTTGGAATAGACAAACTTTGAAAACATCCATTTTTTATCTCAGTTAGAAAGGGCCTTTTCCTACAAAAATCTGCAGGCTTCTTTTATCTGATATATTTTTACCATTATGACTTCAACTCAGAGAAATACACATGATGTAATTTTGGGCTAGCTAGCATGCATGCCACTAGTCATATGGATGTAATAGCAGCACATTTCAGCAATCTGTGTAAAGTTGTGAGCAGCTGATGCAGTGTGAGCTGTGTTTCTACTGATCACTCTCTTGTTACCAGTCACCAGCTTGCACAAGTCTCTGTGAGCTGCTGTCTGTTTAAAAAAACTGTTTAACGTTTACCAGACCTACTTTGTTTTTTAGATCCTGTGTTTTCCTAAAGCACCTGTTCTCTTCAATCTTTATTCTCCTGAAGGGTGAAAATAGGTTTTATCTTGAAGGTAAGATGCACTCTCTACAGTCAGATCTTTTAAGTTTTAATTGTTTTTGATATCAGCCTGAGATAGTCTTGCCTTCTTAACGCAAGATAAATAAGGTAGAAAACAGGAAAAGAGAGTTATATGACTTAACGGAACAGCATGAGTGCTCAAATTGGCAGCCACAAGCCACAATGACAGATTCTGAATTATAATAAAATTTATTTAAGATGGATTAATTTAACCCAATTTCTGTTTTATAGGAAGATACATATTCAGGAATAGTATTTGAAGACAATAACTGATTTTTTTTCCCACTTTATATTGAAGAAGCTACCCTAGCAGAATTCATTGGAAAAATATGTTGTGATAAAGACTAAATTCCCTTAAAAACCTATGCAAAATTTATTAGAAAATATATGTTTTAAACACTGAACCTGACAGAATTTTTTTTTTCTTTTTCTCCATCCATTTGTACATAATGAAAAACTGAAAGAACTTTAACATTAATTGAAAACAGATTACTTACAAGTCCAAGTTCTGCAGGTCCCTCAAAATAAAAGGTTCTATATGGGATTTTGGGAAGTGAATTGGTGTTTCTTTGAAACAGTCAGTGTTAAAAACTAGAGGAAAAACTCAGTTCTCAATATTGTTTTTTCTTAGTGAATAAAGAGTGAAATAGGTACCATAGAGACCTATAAAATACTTCATACTCTTCCTTTATGTCATCTAAAATTTGCCAGCCTGAAAAAGAAAGCTGAGATTATATCAAAAACAAAACACACCCCTACTGTGTATGAAAGAAAGCAAATTATTGATATAAAATTGACAAAATATGTACTAGCTTTTGATTTCTGATCCCTTTCACATCTATGTACCAACTAATTCCCTTTTCAAATTCCCTTTTAAATAACTTAAGTGATGAATTTTCTTGCAGTAGTTATGGAATAAGTATAACCCTAAGTGAAACATTTTAAGGAAAATTAACTTTTTGTTAACAGGGCAGGGTTGGCCTAGTAGTTCTGAGATGGAGTAATTTATAAAATTGCGTGGTTGAGCGTATGAGCGATGGAACACAGAAGACCAGCTTCTCCTTTTTCTTTACTCCCTTTTATTCTGCACCACTTTTTGGTCAAGATGCTTTCTCCTTTCTCTGAGAGAATGTCTGGGTTCCCTTGCAGGGAATGACTGCCCCAGGTCACTCCTGAAGAAATGTGTTTGAGGCAGTACCCTCTTCAGTCAGGAAAAACCAAAAACCTCAACACTAGATCCATTACCTGGGGCCTGGGATACAGAGTTCACAAGCTGTATGCAAAATAAGGAGAAATCTTGCCAGCTGTGACCTTTTCAACACACCCTCCTCCCATTCCTCAACCTCCACAAATAATGCTTTTGAGTAAGCATGGTTTGAATATAGGATGAGAAAAAATGTCTCTACTAGACCAGTAGGAACATTAACAAGTCAAAATTCAGGGGCAAGTGGTAGGTTTCAACCTGGAAAAATGTAGGATAATTGTACAGTGGAGACACTCAGTTGTGTGTGTTGCCAGGGCTAGGTTGGTGCAGCATAGCTCTGTAAGTTTGACTTGGTTTCACTGGGAAAACTTGAATGTGCATGCTAAAACTGTGCAAGATAAGAAAAGAAACACATAGAAGCTAAATTTTTGCAACTGCAGTAGGTAGAAGGAAGGGATTAAATGAGGAAAACACTTCCTTGAAGTATATAAAAATTCCAGGAATAGAGTATAAAATTAGTTGAAAACTCAGCAACCCTGATGAGCAGCCCACTTGAAGGAACAATGGCAACCAGTCCTCTCTGACATGACTGATGACTGCCAGGCCAGTGAAGATACATTGAGTGTCTCATTAAGGTTGTGAGAATGTAACACCTAGTTCTGTAACTCATTAATCATTTGTATCAGCCAATAAATAATTGCACTGCACTCTTAAAGGAAACTTGAAAAGTCTCCTTGAAAGTAAAAAGTGGCTGAGAGAAGCACCCAGTGCCATATTTCCGTGACTTGGGTGTTGCCCCCACAGCTGAAGCCCATCCCTCCTCCCAGCATCCCCAGCTGCAGCCCACTCCTGCCTCCGCAGCAATCACTCCCACACCATGGCCATGCAGAAGGAGGTGGTGGAGACACAGTGCTACCACACCAGGCTGTGTCTGTCCTCTCCTGCAGATGCTTTCCTCACCTAGTATGTCTCCAAAGATTTTCTCTATTAAAATCCCTGGGGTCTGCAAATAAAAGATTCTTAAACTGTCTGAAAATCAAAGCTCGTTGGAAAAGAGCTGAATTTCAAAGGAAGTAACATGATGAGGGTTTTAACCTCAAAAAAAAAAAAATTATTTTATTTCTAAATATGTTTATGTGGCGCAGCTAGGGGTAAAGAGTAACAAGTAATTATAGAGTAATCATCTGTGGCTGACTAATTGTTCTTCAGCAGTAACTCTCAGTAGTACTTATTTTTAAATACAAATTACTTTTGTAAATGTATGTGTTATACATGTGCTCTAAGTCTCACTAGTTTCTATTAATTAAATGTAACATTGTATAAATTACTGCCTGTGTTTCCCTGAATAAGAGAAATTAAGTATATGGCACCTATTTGATATATAAAGGCGTCCATGTCATTTTTCTTACAGATATGTTCAAGGAATAACCCATAATATGGAGAAAACCAAACCCGAGAAAAGAAAACAATGAAATGGGCAAAGGTATAATAATCAATTCATCACATTTGAGTTTGCTGCAGAGAACTGATGTCAGTTTTTGTGCAGATACTTCAGGTAAGCAAATGGAGCTTTCTTAGACGTGATGATCCAAGTTTTGCTCTTAATTACACCATGGTTAAACTTCAACTTCAGTACGTCGATCAATTTGAATTACATGCTGCTTACTCTAGGTCTTTGGAGCAAAAAGAGTAATTTATCTCAATTCACATTTCCTCAAATTTCTTTCTTGGCCTCCACAACTCTGAAAGAAACACAAATAATTTCTTATATGAGAGGGGTAAACATTTTTTAAAATAGAAAGCCACTCAGGTTTTTTGAGTGTACAAATGAGTTTCATAGAGACAAAAGGCTTTTTCCTTCACCTGAGGAAAAGTGGCAAGACAAGTGAGGGAGCTGTGTTCCCCACAAGGTGTTCCATGAAGTGATGCTGATGATAGAGCCTCTTCCAGCCACAGATAGGGAGTGTCAGGTAAAGCAATTAAGTACCTAATAAAATCCTTGAAGGAAAAGTAGAACCTCATAACCTCTGCTGGTAGTCAGCTGAACCAGAATAAAATTATTTTGAGGAGAACAGCTGTATTTGAAGCAATATTTTGATTGTATGGTTCCTGTAGAATCCTATAAGTTTCTTATTACAATGATATTCATAATAGCTGGGCAGAAGATCCGAAGGCCTTGTCCTTCCACTGTATTCATACTTTGAATTCTTGGAAAATAACTCATGTAGTGAGCCATGTGGGTAGGAAATATCTTATCTGTGAATGCCAGAGTATGTGTGAGTTGGGATCCTGAACTCAACAGCATCAGGATTTGTTGTATTCTTCACAGAATATATTTATATCTGCAGCCCTTTACAAGCTGGAAGGTCCATGTGCCCAGGTCTTCTATTACAACCAACTTAAATTAAGTTGCTGTTCTGTAGGAAGAAATACTCAAACCCAATTTTGTCTCAAAAGAAAAATTAGCTTGCCTAGTAAACATCATAATTTTACTTGGAAATAAATTGCATGGAATTATTACCTTAATCACTGCTATAATTATTTCCAAAATTAAGAACTAAATAAAATGTTTTCTTTGGAATAGAATTAAAGTTTCCTTGAGGATTAATCTTTTCCACTTTCAAAGAAAATCCTCTTGATAGAAGTACTTTTTATATAGAGTATGTAAATGCTTGTCTCAATGACTTTTTTTCCCCCCTCCAAAAGGCCTGAAAGAAGGTTTGTCCATCTTTGAGTATAGCAGAATCCTCCTGTACTTTCCTAGATAGAAAATTACTGTTAGGAATTTGTTTGGCTTTCCTATTTCCAGAGCTTTTCTGAACCAGGTACATTGAGAATAATGCTTTTAAATTTTTGCTTGTTATGATGTCTTGGTCAGATCTTAGCCATATTGGGGTGAAAATACTAGAAAAATCTCACTAGTCAACAGAAAAGAAAGAAATATCTACTCCTACAGAGGAGCTTCCTCAGGGAATTTGTGATGAGCTCTCAGACAGGAGTTCACTAGAACCAGTAAGAATAAGGCTATTGGAAAAAAAATCCTTTATTCCAAAGGAGAAACTGTTGAAATCAATAAAGTATTGCGAACGTAGGAGATGATTACAGCGTAGAAACCTGTGTGCCCTTACATCCCATACACAAATAAAACAACTAGTGAAGGCAGTGCAGAGGAGTTGCTGTGTTGTCAATCTGAACTAAGAGTTGTGAAGACAGGCACAGACAGACCAGAGAGATGTTGAGGAGAAGCCTCCTTGAGAAATGTGTGTTCTGGAGCATGAGAGGCTGAGCTACATATTCCTACAGCTAAAGAAAGGTCTGTCTCTTGTGTACACAGGTCTGACTCCAGATCACTTAGTAAACACTGCATATTTCAGGAATTACCTCAGCATAACACATCTTACTTTTTGTTTGAAACTGGTAAGAGTGGAAGGATTTGATTTATCTTACAGAGGCCATTAACACAACAGGTCAGTGATTTCCTGCAATGAACAGAGAAACGTATCTTTTTACACATTTACCATGCACAGAAATAGCTTGTTTTTACCACCAAAATATGAGTAGGCTCCTGATATGTTATGTGGAACTGCAAAAATGAATATTATATTTAAAGAAATCATGAATTCAAGTCTGGAAAAGAAGATTATGTATTTATACTGGTTATTAGATGTAGAAATTCTTAACAGTCATATACCAGCTTTACTAATGTAGTTTCAGGGCAGACAAAACTGGATTGCCATAATAGAATAAATCTTTGGGTCTTGATGAAGATTTTATAACCTTCTCTATCATAAAAGTAACAAATACTCTTTACATCTATAATATAACTGTTTTGTGTTTAAAACAATATTAGCAAATATCTGTTAAAAATATGAACTGAATTAAAATTTTATCTTGAGTTACTGTTACAGAGTCATTCAAAGTCCAAAAAAGTAATTTCTTTGGCTCCCACTTATGATTGGTCAGTGCTTTGTCCTGAACAACTTACATATATTTCATGCCTTAAGACTTACAATGCCTATGATTAAATATGCAAAGTTGTTTAAATAGACAACTTAAATGTTTATATAGAAGTGTTTTAGCTGTCCTCTGCCCATCAGAAATAAAGTAGCAAAGTACTACAAGTGTGCTATTCTGTATTCATAACTCTTTTATCTCCACAATGACAAATGTGTAATAGCATTTCTCTGCTGTTCCAACAGCCAGGATAACCCCCTGAGACCACAGAGAAAGCCCTCTGTAGTATGCACCTGAAAAATTAGAGAAAGGGGAGAAAACCTACAGACATTGTTACTTTGTTTCAGTCTGACCATAATTCCCTTTTTGGGGAATTTGGTCTGCAGGTAGGTCACTCTGTCTATCTTTCCCAGCTCCAACAACCCAAGTTATGGCCTTTCCTTGCTTGCATGGTTGTGTAGAGAAGTGTGACGGCACATGGTGTGGGAATAAGCAAAAGAGGTAAAGGATAAGATTGATTTTCAAAAGACAATCTGCCTGAGACCTCCAAGACAGACAAATTGGTTTCCCCAGAGTCTGACCTCTGTGAAATGTTAAGATAAAAATGTTGGAAAGTACTGGAGCATAAATGCTCTTCTGACCTTAGGCTGTATAGACGTGATCCAGACCATCTGCTGGGAGCCTTACATCTATCACTTTTATTGCTTTATATTAAAAAAAATAAATAAAAGGAAAACCAAAAAGAGAGGTTTCAAAGAGCCCTGAATTCTTCAGGTGTCATTGTACAGATGGATACTAAAAATCAGTTTTATTTTCCATTCTGGAAAGGCTAGTTGATAGTAAGTAATGGCCAACTGCTGAGGCATTGTATACATAGACACAGGGAGTGTCCAGTGCTTGGGACAGTGACTTAAATTTTAATAGCTGACTGGCAAAACTCAGTTCTGGCCAAATCTATATCTTGTCTCTTTGCTGCATTGCATTGTATTAGACTTCACTAAGTCACTGTCATTTTAAAACTTTTGGTTTCAAAGCCACTAATGTTTTAATCTAGCTGCCAGCAAATGTTCTGACCTGTCTGACACCAATTCAGAACAACAGAGAATTTGTGTGTGGTAATTTCACATGTAAATGTTACTATAAATTATTGTGCCACCGAGAATACTTTTTTATAGCACTTCAGCTCACAAGATGAAGATAGGTTCAAAAGTCCAATGCATACAGTATATCAGTTTATTTGCTGTAATTTTAATAGTTTTATGGTAATATTCAAATGATTTGATTTATAGGTCACAGTTTGGGGCTTGGATGCTTTGATATCATCTGACATCTCATCTGAAGGATCAAGTTCCTCACTAAATCTTTAGGAATCTTTTACTAATTTGCAAAATTGACTTTTCAACATCTACTCAAGTAGTCTTTCTAGTTCAGAGGTAAATTTGTGATTAGCATGGATTCTGATTCCATCTAATTAAATGTTAACTATTTTAAAAATACCTTAGTTAAATTTTAGACTTCTTTGAAGAATTATTTTTAAGATGTTCCTGTATCTTTTACCCTAGTTTCCTTTGATTTTTGCTTCTCAGTTATAGTTTTGAATTGCTTAAAATAAATGCGGGTCAGGAGTTTGCCAAGCTGTTATTATACTGCAGCATTGATTGCTAGTGATAATCTCAGTGCTTTTAGAGAGACTTCTAATTCATGTGCTATCTAAATCTATTTTGATTAGATGCTTGGGGACAATACAGGGTACAGGGGAAAACTAAATATGGAATGACAGTTTAAAAAACACAGTCCTGTTAAATGCAGGTCCACCAAAGTGAGCATCACTTGTGCATATTCTTTGCTGTGCGTTGGAGTCTCCGTTCAGTTAAACCCTTGTTGAAGAATTGTGAGAGGTTTGACAGATGAATTGCTGAGGTAATTACTTAGTTCCTTTCCATCTCACTAGCTTTTTTTCCAATAAATGAAGGCTTAAATTCTGGTTTCAACAATTCTAATCTCAATAGCACAGTCAATTACAGTAAAATGCCTATATATTTTTTCCAGAGTCAGATTCCTTCTTTCCAGTTGTTTATTGTTTAAGTCAAGAACTAGCATGTGTATGATAAATTTATCCAGTCACAAATGAAAAGGAAATGAAACTTTCAGTGGCAGGTGCATTTTTAGCTGATGCTGTTACCATCCACCAAATTATTCTGTTTTTAAGCAACAAATGAGTATAAAATGAAAGCTAAAAGAAAAAATTACTGCTTTGTATAAATATCTCACAAATAAAAACAAGGAGAGAGAAGAGCTTCTTCCAGGAGAAAAAGCTAACAGACTGTTGTCAGAAGAATACATGTTTTTATAAATTTAAGAAAAAAAATAGTATACTTGCCAAAGTAATGTTTTCCAAGTATATTATAGCATTTATTTTGCCAGTGTAGCTTTCATAATTGCAATAGTTATGGTGTTTTACATTTCTAACATCACTATTTTTGACACTATTCTGTTATGATCTTCTTTTCCTAGCTAACTATTACAGTGCAGTCAGTATTCATTCTGTATGAACTAAGGCTACATTAAAGTCTCATATAGTACAAATTTTACTGTCAGATACTGATGAATGCTGATTGTCAAACATTTCATTAAATTAAATACATATCTCATGTAACTTGAATATAAATGCCATGTCTAAATCTAAACTTTTTAGAAGTGTTTTATAACTCTCAGTAGTGCTCTTAATATCAAGTAGCAGAATACCTGATATATAAAGGCATTAACAAATACCTTATTTCCTACACATTTTATTTCAGTGAAAGGTTTTCTTTTCTCCATTTAGTTGCTTCAGAAAGTAAAGTTCCATGAAAGCCCAGTTTAGCACATTAGATAGTTTCCTGAAGTTTGATTATGAATTACTCTCTATCTTTGCAGGAAAGACAGTATTTATGTCAAAGGCAAAAGCAAACATTTCAATGTCAAGCTTGACATTCTTCTTTTAGCCCTTTGACACATTAAATAAAATAGAACTCAGACTGCAGTGGGTAAGGTGTTTTTTTAAATTTCCATAAACAGAACTAGCTTATGTCTTACAGTCAAAACAATCCTGCCAAATCCATATGCCTTTCTAAAGCTCAGATGTGATTGTTGCAAACAAAAATTTAAAACTGATATAGAATCATAAGGTGACACTTGGTTAGACCACTGTCAATATTCACCTTTCATTTCATTTGGAAACTTAAATGTGAAACAAAGCCAGTACATATGGATCCAAGATGAAACATTAGATAATAAGTTAGAAAACAGGTAATTCTGGAGATATACTCTTTGAACCCCCATATTTACTAAAAGGAAGATTCCAGTCCCAATATAACTAAAAACATGGGCATGTCATATATATTTGTAGTCATACATGGAGGAGTCTGTGCTAGGATTTGAGAGTAGAGAAAATAAAGTGAGAGTTCTTCTCACATGCTCTTACAGCTTTAATATAAGCTAAGTATGCAAAATGTTAGATATTAATTTATTGCTCCTTTCCTAAGGGCTTTTATTTCCTTTCTGTTATCTAATTGTCTCTGTCTAATTTATTTGAGGCTAACACACTTACATGAGAAAAAATATAACTCTTCTAAATTCCTCCAGCTTCTCAGAATGATGATTTTGAATAATGCTGCTGATCATTATTTGTATCCCTTTGTAGGCAGATGTTGTCTAGAAGAAACATTTTTGTACTCTTGTAGAAACTGTGTGTAGACAAAGAATGATAATGAAAAAAGTCACAATGTACTAGTGTTCCAAATGAAAATGAGGGAAACCTACAGTGCAATTGCTGTCATTACAATGAAGTTAGGACAACCATGTTCTCTGTTGTTTCTTTAAGAAAGTGATTATTTTTCACAATTTATCATTTTATTTCTTCACCTTCAAAACTGCCACTGTGTCATGTAAGAAACTTAATTTCTCATTACAATTTCAGCACTAGAACACATTAAGGGTCAGCATACACAGTTAAATGAATGTCATGTTTTTCAAGTTGGATGTGAGAGGTCTTAATTCATATAAAGCACTGTGTTAGACTAGGCATAGCACATAGTTACATAGCACTTAGAAGTAATATAGATACACAAAAGGAAGTTCTTTAGAGTGAAATCTGCTGCTGTTAGTGGAAAAGAACTACATTGTCATGATGTTCACCTGAAAAAAATGTACCCCAACATTACCACACATCCAACAACAATCTTTCTATGTGCTTAAATAAATAGTATCTTAAATTGGAAGTAAGGTGAGACTTTGTATTTGAAATTGCAAAGCATTCCACATTTCAGTGAGTGAAAATTTGCAAATGTGGGAAGCCTAAAGATTACTCACAAACCTCAATATATTAATGTAAAAAATGCATTGACATCAAAGTATGAAAGATACCCTTAGTTCTCTCTACCTTTGTCCCAACTTTTGAATTCTCAGAATATATATATATAATGATTTTTTAAGATCTGTATTTTTTCTTATAAAATAATATAAAATTATTCTTATAAAATAATTTGAAATAAGTAGCATCAAATATTGCAGGTGAGTTTAAGATGGACATACAAATGAAGCAACAGTGACAGGAAAAGAGAAATGAAAAGATAATAATGTTTACTCAGAATAACAATTTCTCTGGGTTTGCTAACCCTTCTTTAATTACAAGTATCGGATGCATGATAAAAAATTGCAAACATATGTGCATACACATGCGGATAAAAACTCATTCTGAAAAATGTCTGCTGTTTTGGGAACACATTTTCTTGTCCTTTGTTTTTTTAATTCTGTTTTCATATTTCATTTTTTTGAAAGGTTTGACTTTTATTTCAAGCAGAATATTCACTTTGTCATCTGATTGTTAGTGATGTGGCTACTTTTCTAATAATACATGTTTACATGAAAGATGTGGAAATAATTTGACTCCAAAAATTCCATTAATATCTCTGACAAATTATAAAAGTATCAGGGCTTTGTATTTATGATATTATAAGTCCAGAAGGGAAAATAGAAAATTTTGGCACATAAAATTTGTGAGCTAATTTAATGCAGTGGAGGTAGCCATGAAAGTCCAAAAGAAATTTAAATATGGAAATTTCAAATTTCAATTACTCCTTAAGAACTTGACAATTCCTTGCTGTCATTTTGCATTGACATGTGGACAGTGTCAAAGTTGTCCCAAGGGTTTCTCCTAAACAAGTAAAAATGCCACCCTAACTTTTCTCATTCTCTGTATAAGCAGAAAGTTACTTTCTTTGTAGTGCTGCTTGCATTTGAGATCAGGACCAAGAACCAGAGCAGAGAGGGAGAACTAAGAGCAAGGAAAGAAATCTCAAAGATCAGCAATAATTCTGGAAAATTTTCAAACATCTGTATTTCAGGTTTTTAGGTTTGAAATAATTTCACATGTGTGTAACTACATCATACTTTGTTTCACACTCTTATTCCAGGTCTCACAGGCTTTTTTTTCTTTACCCCTTGCTAGTGCCATAGGATCCATTTACAAGATTCTCACACTTGCAAACTTGCCTGCTCTGGAATTGTTTTGGTGAAAAACATTAAGTCTACTCAGAGGCTTTTGCAATCTGTGAGACTTAATGACAGATTTCCAGTTCTTGACTATGTTTGACATCTTGTCTGAGAACAAATTTTAGACCAAGACCTATATTTTCAATGTCCAGAACTCTTTTTACTTGGTGAAAACTGATTTTGAAAGTTATAAGAAGAAATAGTGTTAGTCCATTTCAGGCTGGTAAAAAGTTACAATTTGGGTTCTGAAGGTTATTTCAGTGTTTATAAAATTGAGGGCAGAGGGAGGGAACAAGAAAGTAATCATTCTGATACCTCTAATAGAATTCTGTGGATTTATGAGTGAAAAACTATATTTTTATGTTCTTGAACTTCAAGATAACTAGACAAAAAAGACAGTTTCTCTCTTATAAATATCTTCAGTGATCACGTATGCTGAGAATCCTCCCTCTAGATTATTTCCCTGTGAGTCACACGCAAATTCTTGGTCAGACTGTACTGAGTTTTCCCATAGTAAATCATCTTGGCATAATCCTGGGCTCAATAACTAGAAACAGTTACTTAAAGAGGAGAGTGAGATACTCAAAAGTTTGGCATGGGTACACTTCTGGAGCTGGAGAGGAGCAGCACCTCTGCCTGATGT